AAGTGGCTATGGGTCCTTCGGATGCCACGGTTATAGACCGAGTGTGGTCCCTGACTCATGCTTTTCCAGGCTCCCACCTCCATGACAATGACATCCTAAAAGCTTCCACTGAACAGGAAAATAAAGGTTCGTTTAGGAATGGGGGGGTGGGGGGGAGCACACTACGCTGTTGATGAAGTGTAAATTGACATCCTTACGGGATAATTAGGTAGTATCTATTTAAAATGAACACTCATTTTGACTGATTAAGTCCATTTCTTCTCAGAAGTTATCCTCCCAATATAGAGATGCTCATCAAATCATGCTAATGGAAATCACTCGATCTTGCAATGCAAACAATGTAAAGACAGAGGGATGTTTAGAGAAGGGTGTAAGTAATTCACTTGATGAAAAAAACAGGAGGTAGATCTGGAGGCCCTCACTTGGAAGATGTCAAACTATCTACAAAATACAAAGCAAAACAAATGAAATGAAAAACCTCAGTGCCAAGTGGATTCCGACTCCCAGCAGCCCTGTGACAGAGAAAGCCCTGTGGCTTTCCAGGACTGTAAATCTTTATGGCAGAGAAAGCCTCGTCTTTCTCCTACAGAGAGAAAGTGGTTTGGAACTGATGAGTTTCAACTACGGGCCTGGTTGTAGCAGCCCACCTCAAGCTATACAAGTGCAAAAATGCATACAAATTTTTATACTATTTAAAATATGGATGCAAAAACTGGGGTGACAGAAAGGGAGAGAGGGTTGTATGTGGAAGTTAGGATCAGGGTGTTAAGGGACTTTGTTTTTTTATGTCATACTCTCCTCTATTCTTTGGATTTTTAATCATAGACACGTGTTAATATTATTAAAGTAACAACATACAACATATATTTTAAAATTCAGTTTAAAATGAGATGAGGTCCCATTGTAGTAAGTCCCTATTGACTCTGACCACAGGCAAACTTAAGGATGAATATTTCTGTGGGGATATTTCCTTTAGAAGTGGATGTCTCAGAATGGAGTCCGGGACTCCGTTTGCGTCCATATTGTGTTAGGGCAAAACATGAACGTCTTACATTACACTGAATATATGCAGTCAAGAATAAGTGTCCAGTCCTGCTTGAAGGTCACAAAATATTTTTAGGTAGAGCGCCTTAGATGTATTTTCCCAAACCACCTTTTTAGAAAATATCATGTGCTCTTCCAGAGGCTCAGGAAGCAGCTTGTGAGCGGAGCACAGGTGTGCTGAGGGACAGGCCATCACTCATTCTGACTGATGTCTGATCTTTGTGGCCTTCTGGGGCCCCCTTGGCAGGCACTCCCCTCTCCCCCTTGTCAGCTTGATTTTTTTTTTGTCTCATAGTATCTGCTGCCATGCTAGCTACTGTGCCCCTTTATCTCCTTCCTGTGCATCTCTTCCTACCAGTGGGGACTGTCAGCATCGGCAGCTGTACCCCCGCAGTGTTGGGGCTCTACAAGTATCTATCAGACCGATAACTGGAGGAATGTGTTCCCTTAGGAAAAATCTCCTTGGCTGACATGGAGAACAAGATGTTCCATCTGTCAAGAGCTGTCACCCACATTCTGGGCCTCTACTCTGTTAGCTGGGGAACTACAGGGAATGCCTCTGACCTCTGGTCTGCAGTCGCGGTGTTGGTGGCCAGCTGCGCTCGGGCTACCTGATCCTGATGCCCCTAGTCTTTACAGGGGTCGGTCACCTGGTCTTTCTCCAGTGGGGCCGCTGGTGAATGCGAACCATCAACCCTTTCATTAGTAGCTGAGCGCTTAGCCATAATGACTTTGCATTTACATATTTGAAGGTCATCACAGAAAGCCCAGCGTCTTCTGATGACCTTTCCTGGTGATTATTCCGTCAGGCATTTCTCTCGTCCGTTCATCTCTTCACTGCAACTAGCCTTCCCGGTGGTGCATCTATGCGGACACGTGCAGCCTGTCCCTCCCAGCACGCTCACCCCAACAACTGCTGAGAGGGCTTTTCCTTCCACGGGTGACTCACTGGTCAACTGAACAGCCCACATGGACAAATGGGTGACAGATGTGCTTTGAGGAATATGAAATGTGGTACAAGTCTAAAGATGTGAGATTCAGAGTGCTATGAAGTGATACATTATAAACATAAAATTTAGATGAACGGCTTTAAAAAATGCAGCAGATTAAAAGGCCAATTATGTTTGTGTCTCCTATAAAATTTAAATGTTTGCCTTTTCTGTTCTTGTCACAAAATTTGGGTAGTTGTTAACTATCATGCACCATTAACTCTGGTGAAGATCAGACTGGTATTATAGGATGCCCCAGAATGACTTTGTCCTCAATTCACTCCGCCCAGCCTACACGAAATGCAATTTTAGTGAGTAGGCTCTTGTTAACAAAACACATTTATTGCCTAATGACATCTTTTGATTTAATATATGATATTAGAAGAGGTGACACCATGTTCCAGTTTCAAGAACCTTTAAATTTAACGAGTTTCACCTTTCTTACTCTGATCCCCTTACTCGGTTTCAGTAATGGATTCTATATGGTAACAAAATGCATGAGGGGAATATTTCAGCTATGAAGGGTGAGTGAGTAAGGACTCACAGAACTGAAAGATAGTTGATGAACAGACCAGAGCTGCCCTGGTTAATGATGGGCTTCTTATATCCCTGCACCTGTGGCTCTGTTTTCCAGATTCATGTCGACTGTTGTTGTTGCTGTGGGCGAGGCTTTGGACGACTAACAACCCACAAAGTCAATGGCTCAAACCCACCAACTCACCAGTCTCCAAAGGAGAAAGAGGAGGCGGTCTATTCCAGTAAAGACTTACAGCCTTAGAAACCCTATAGAGGGTCATGCTGAATCAGAGTGAGCTTGATGGCACCGTGATGTTCACATGGAAGCCGTAATCATGGTGACCCCGTGCACGGTTTTCAAAGCAGATGGCCAGGCCTTTCTTCCTCATCTCTCTTAGTCTGGAAACTTTGCTAAAACACAGAAACCTCTATGACAGGTCTGTAGTGCCCTGATGGGGAACTGACCTCAGTTCTCCCACCTGGATGGAGTACTTCTGCCCTCTAGTTTAATATAGAAGAAAACAAATTAAAGAAACAAAACCGAATCCCCTGCCATCGAGTTGATAGTGACCCCATAAAAAAGACCAAAAACCAGCTTCGGGTTTCTTGCCAGTTTCAAAGCATGGTCCTGGGTATGGAGCCAAGTGCCCGAGTAGTAGACGGGGAATTGTCACTCAGGATAGAGGAACAAACCATGCATTCCATTTTATTTGTATTTCCTAGCTAGAAATGAACATGAGAAAATGTTGTAGATGTCACCGTTGGGGTCAGAAACTTCTGGTAGCTCCTACCTCACAAACGGAGTTGTCACTGCCAGCCTTTGGACGCCTTTCCGCTCCTGCCGCCCCTGCTTCCCGGCTCCCTGCTCCACCCTCCCAAGCTTCACGATGCGGGCCAGGTCAGCCCTGTCCTTGCCCATCCTGCACTGCTCTCCTCATGCCTGTGGTCCTCATTCCCTCTACCTCCCACTTCTAACGCTACTGCAGACACCAGCTGACGGCCCAGCTTCCTGTTAAATAAAGCTCTCTTGCACCCTTCACCCAGCCCTCAGCCATGTCTCTCTGGGGTGCTCTCCTAAGCACTCCGGTTCTAAGCAGCTCAATTTCCTCTCGCGCCCCGTCCACCTGTGTGCCATGTGTTTTAGCCGTGTCTTCCCAGCTATGCGGAGCAAGCTCTGAAGGCAGACGTCGTGATTTACTCATTCTGTGATACAAAGCGCTGAGACAATTAAGCCCGGCTCTCATCAGTAAGTGCTGTTGCATGAGCAGGCAGACTGCTCCCTCGGACTGTTGATGGGCTCTCAGAGGGAGGGCAGGTCAGGACTGGCCAGCAGCGTGGTGCTGGGCTCACGCATCCAGCCCTCTGCGGTATCATCTGACTCGGGGAACGTTTGCACAACAGAATGAATGGGCAAAGAAAGAAGGCTGGAGCCCAGGAAGATGTGCAGAAAAAGAAAACCCTCTTTTGCCACCTCCCCTTCAATATCAAGACTAAGGTTGTTTCCTGTTTTGAAGTTCACACCAGCAGCAGCTTCCTATCGGAACACCCCAGCGGCTGATGTTTATGACATGTTTGTCATAGCGAGGGTCCACCTTTGGGGCAGCAAGGGGAGCCAGCAGTCCATTTACAACAGAGCCCCCCAGCAGTGCCTCCTGAGAAGAAACCCTTCCCCAGCAAGGACAGGAAGTCAGGCTAGGCCATGCCGACGCCTACCGCACGAAGGAATGTCCAAGGGAGACCCTGGCAAGGACACGCACCACAGAGAATGTGGGAAGGGGGCAGAGTGAGCTGGGACAGTACCCATCCTGGTCAGGAACTGCAAGAGACACGAGAGTCTCTTTTTAGGACATCTGTTCAACCAGGGCATATCCACAAATTAAGCCTTCCAACTTAATCCCCAAAGTGGGATGGATGGTGGCCAATGAAGCCCCCTGGCCTCCATTCCTATGGACATTGGCTGCATCCAAGCATGCACACGTGTGTGGACACTGGAGTCTCCCACCGAGTGATGGTGAGATGGAGAGGAGATGCTGAAGGTGAGAACTTCTCCCGGATGGGTGTCATCCTGGTGGAACAGAATGAAGGGAGTGTACCTACACAGACATGGCTTGTCCCCAAGGAAGCGGCAGCCTTCGATGTACTTTGCACGTATCCTTCTCCCGCCTTGTTGCCATGGGCATTTACAACGGGAGAGGGCAACACGGGGCAAGGCAGCTTGTCCTACACGCAACTGAGAAATAACTTGCATGGAATGTGGATGAAGCCTGTCTAGTTCAGGAAGACGGCAGCACCAAGGCACGAGGCTTAGCTCCACCTTTCCAACCCCTGGCGATTAAGCGAGGACTGGCCTCGGCAACCCAGTTCAAAGTCAAAGTCACTGCCACTGAGTTGACTCCAACTCATAAGGACCCGAGAACAGACCGGGACTCTGTAGTTCTCCCCTCCCGTTACCTCCATCGCTGCAGGTTCTGGAGTCCGAGGCCAGGCTATCTGTGGAGCCGGTGGTGAAGCTGACTGGAACACCCCTGAAGGACGGGCTGAGGCTCCCGGCTGAGCCCTGGCTCCCCTTTTCCAAATCAGAGCTGCTTTTGTTCATTTTCAGAAGGTGCCTGGAAGATGGACAAACAGTAGGAATCATGCATTTGGTTTCCATTTAGAACGTTCTATGTTCTTGAAGCTTAGCCAATGCTGGCAACGTGATTGCGGAAAGACTCCGCTCAAACATCAGTCACCTGAATGGCAGGAGACCACAGGCTCATCTTGAAGAGAAGGGCATCTATTGTGTTTAGATCAACACCAAAATCATGATTTAGGTGGCATTACCTTTACACCCTGAGCCCACCTGCCAAAATATTTACGTCATCGGTGGCGGCCTGTAATAACTTTAACATCCATACAAAGAAAGCAGGACACAATCATGCCTGTTAATACCAGGACATTTTTGCAAGCTCACCAGACAAGTGAATTGCCAACTAGAAGTGAAAATTGGGAATTTCACTTTTGCCCAGTGCTTTCATCTGATGATAGCTTGGAAGCATCTGCCTAGCAAGTTCCTTGGAATTCAGGAAATTTTGATTTAAATTTTAACTGGACTTCCAGAGCCATAGTAACCTATCTCATAGTAACCAGCTCATTCCAGAGCTGTGAAATCGGCCCTTAGGTTTTTCAAGAAAATCTTTCACCAAAAAAGTCAAGAAGAGAGGACTAGCCCTGGAGACAGCAGTTCCGTTAGGAGGTAGAGTGCTTAGCTTATTGGTTGTTCCTCAAACCGCCCCCTCCACACACACTTTCCAAGGGACACATCATGAATATTCACTTCTGACCGGACGTTTCCACAGTGGAGTTACACAGACCACAGTCAATCCGGCTGCTTCCCTGGTGGTGGTAACCCAGATGTGTCTGCACTGGTAGTAGTTCCTGATGACATTCCTGTTCCCACTACAGCAGATCTATAGTCAATATCTGCTGTAGGAAATACACAATACCATATTGATTGGGCATCGGAACTGCCTTATTTACTATCCATGACCTTACACTCTAGAAGTTATCGATCTTTGTGTTCAGCACTGCGGGGCCCTGTCGGGTTTTCACAGCCATTGGGATTCCTTGTTTAACAGTTGTGGACAGCAAGATTTAGAAAAATCTGTTTGTTACTATGAAAAGTGCTCTCTAGATCTTTGTCCCGTCCTCTACCCCCAACCTTAAAAGCACATTAAAAGAAGTTTTAAAGCTGTCAAATATAAGCATGATCATGATAGAAAAGTTATGGCTAACAGGATTCTTTATATTTTCATTATTACAGGAGGAATCATGGAAATATCAAATCCTTAGAAAGTTCTCTGACAATAGATCTTGGTTTTACTTGATGGTAACACAGAATCATAGGAAGTTTCATGGAGTGCATTTATCAGCACCAGACTCATTCTCAATGGCTCTCCTGGAGGAAGCTAGGAGATGAATTGTGAAAGGGGAGAACCCTTCGACCCAGCAGAGAAACCACCTCAATGGCAGCCCAACTGCTCTGTTCCCCCCCAGATTTGTGTCCGTGCTCCGGGGTTACTCAGTCCCAGGACACGGTTCAGCGAGAACATCGAGCATCACCAGGACTGTGAGCTTGCAAAGCTTCCCACTTCACTAGCTTAGAACAACACTTAGGAAGAAGTATCTTGGTAAAAGACTAACTTACGTGTATATGTCTGAGCCTATACACACACACACACACACACACACACACACACACAAATACATATGAGACTAGGTTAAAAACATTGCTAAAAACTCAGAGACTTTATTACACAAAATTATCAAAATGTGAACTGATATTTCCGGATGACATCCCTGTTCCCACTCCAGCTGATCCCCATCTCGGTATCGGCTAAGGAAATACACAATGCAGTCTGATCTGGCATCGGACCTGCCAAACAACATCACATTCTCCCGTCAAGGTAGATGCATTCGGAAGGCGGTGTTATCTCTGCAACCGTCTCCGGGAGAATTCGGAGCTCCTTGATTTGCACCGAGCCAAAACGGCATTCTGGGCACCGAGGGCACTCGACTTGTGTGCCTTTTTAAATGTTTTTTGAGAGTTTGGGGTCAAAAAGAAATCTGAAAGGGCAAAAGATCAGGTCCGGTTTCCTGACAAAATTCTCACCGACAACCCTTGCTAACCCTGGAAGAAGGTGCAGGCACAAGGTTGTGATGAACCAAATTCCTGACACCAAGAATAGCCGTTTTCTCACCAAGGACATTTCCAAGTTTCTTTTTCTCTTTTTAAATCATTTTATTGGGGGCTCACACAGCTCTTATCACAATCCATAAAGACATTCATGTGTCAAGCACATTTGTCCAAGTTTCTTAAAACCTCTTCCTAATAAGACCCTGTAATTGTCCTGTATACTTCAAAAATAAAATCTATCAAGATCCCCCTCTTAAAAAAAAACAACAGTCACCGCAACTTTCTGGTCTGACCCCTCTGGCTTGAATTGAAGTGGGTGGGTTTCTGGGAAGTTCTGTGTTGATTGGACCCTTTTTAGAAGGAACCCTGAGGGGATTCAGACAAGTGTATTACTGAGAGAGCTTATCTGCAGCCAGCCACTGACTGAAGAGCCCCGTTAAGCCTAGGCATATGTGAATTGGAATGCTGGTAGCAATACTTTTGAACGTACTCTCCTACACATATAAATGCACACACAATTATTTAAAGCAATAACCAAGCATAAAAATTTTAATATGACCCTAAACCAGATGCAAAAAGGAAATCCCACGTCAAAGCACTACAAGGCATGCTTCAATACTATGGGCTGTTTGTCCTAGGTTTCGTTACATGCTCTGTATCAAGTTAAGGATATTTGTTTCAATGCCAAGTTTTCTAAGAATGTTATATTTATCATGTACGGTTATTGAATTTTACCCAGTGCTTTTTCTAGATCTATGGGGAAAATGGTATCTTTTCTTTCCTTCATTCAGATAATCTGATGCGTTCCATGAATAACTTTTTAAAAATTAATCCATTTCTTCACATTTTGCATATACCTGTTATGTTAGTCTGGGTAGAATAGAGAAACAAATACACAGAAACTCATATATGTATAAGAGAGAGTTTTATATAAAAGGTAAGTGTACATTCAGAAAGCATCCCAACCCCGTCCAGTCCAAGCCCATAAGTCCAACTTAGCCCATATGTCTGACATCAATCTACAAAATCCTCCTCAAACTCACAAAACACACTCAATGACCTTGAATGCAGGAGGATCACAGGCCAGTGGGTAGAAAGTCTTTGAATCCAGTAAGCATCTCAGCACTGGCAGGGGTCTCCATGCAGCTGCTCCAGCTCCCAGGGCTGCATCAAGGTAAGTCCACGTGGCTTCCCCTCAAGGATGTCCACAGGAAGTGAGCCATGCTAGCTAAGGCAGCCGCACACTGGTCCAACCATCAGTGAACAAGACCAGAGAACCAAAAGGGCAAGAGCCATTTATCTCTCCGCCCTTCAATTAATCTCACACGTATTTATTGGCCAGGTTGGCACAATAAACCTTAAGTATCTCACTTATTTCACTATGCATTACTGTATTCATTTTTACTAATCCGAGGGGGCTTCAAAAAGCTCATGGAAAAATAGAATTAAAAGACAATGGGAATTTTTCCATGAATTGCTCAAAGAATTTTTAACATTAACATTCAAAAGTCAAGCTGGCGTGTCTTCCTCGCCTCCCCCCACAAACTGTCCTTGTCCAGTTTCAGTATTAGAGTTACATTAGAATCATAACATGAAGTAGGTCACATTTTCTCCTTTTCAATTATCTTATGAAATTTATATAAAATTGATAGCTGTCTTCCAAATTCCTTAGCACAGTCAGATGAATACCTCCAGCACAGCATCAGTTGGTTGAACTATCTCAATTGGAACTCTGCCGATTCCTGGAGTCCTGCTTTACAGCAAGTGTAGACCCTCAAACTCACTCACAGAATTGATGCCGACTCATAGCAACCCTATGGCACCGGGTAGAACTGCCCTGAGTGAGTCCAAGATGCAACTCTTTAAGGGAGTAAAAAGCCTTTTCTTTCTCCAGTGGAGTGGCTGGTGTTTTCAAACTGCTGACCTTGCCATTAGAAGCCCAAGGAGTAACCAGTACGCCGACAAGGCTACTAGTAGAGATCTGAAAATGAGGACAGAAACAGACATAGGCACACCTATATTCATCACGGCTTTACTTACAATAGCAAAGAAATGGAAAGGACTCAAGTCTGAGGGGCCCATGGACAGGTGACTGGATAAGCAAGTTGTGGTACATACAGAACAAGGATGATCCTGAGAACAGAGTATGGATGAACCGAAATGCTAAGTGATATCAGCTTATCACCTAGGGGCAATTATTGTGTAGTCTCTCTTCTGGAAGATGACCAGTGTAGCTACACAGAGACCAATGTTCACCAGTGGTTCCTGGGAGAAGAGGGAGATGGTGGAAAGCATGTTTTAGATGGTAGAGACTTGTTACTTTTGGCGATGGTAAACGAGGCACTGACTGTGGGCACAGTGAGCACAACACAGCCAAAGAAAATCGACTGAGCACAAATGGATGGGCATTAGGCCTACTGAATATGAGTAGGCATATAGGGGACAGGGTTGAGTAGGTAAGAACTGATCGTAGGATCTAGAATGTACTGCATCAAGTCAGCCTCAACTCATAGCGGCCCCAGAGGACAGACAGGACAGAGGATAACTGGCCCATGGCCTTTCAGGACTAAATATTGAAGGGAGCTGACGGCCACACCTGCCTCCCCTAAGTGCAGCTGCGGCTTCAAAATGCCAACCTGGGGGCTAGTGGGCAACCACTTAACCACTAAGCTACCAAGGATCTTCCCAACCACAGTACCATGACAGCGCTACAGGTACATGGAAATTCAAATCGGGGGGTGCAAGCACATAAAGTCAATGAACACAAAAAAGCAGACACTTCTCTGACTTCCCGGAGATCACCTTCCAAGGTGGGTTTTCTTTCTGGGCCTCGTGGGGCAGCTCAGGCTGTTGGTAAAACATGGTTCACACAAATCATGATCTGCATCTCAGTGAAGGAAGTGGCATGTGGGGACTTACAAAGAGGTGAGTCGC